CTGCCTGTTGGCCCCATCTGGGAGCTCAGTGCTGGAGCTGACTCCCTGCAGCAGCTGCTGGTGGGTCTCAACTGCTCCCTTTTCCTCTCCTGCCTTCTCCTTTCCTCTGAGTGACCATGGGGTCAGGTCCTGTGGAGTCTCACACGCTCTGCATGTTTGGTTGGTGACAGCAGTCAGCAGTGCTCCAGCAGAGACAGAGTTTTGCCACCTCCCGAGGAAAACCTGCAAAGAAAGCACCAACTCAGAGCTGCAATGGGCAAAAGTCCTTAGAGCTACCCCTCAGACCCCTCCAGAAATGGGGCATCTGTGTCTCCCTGAATGCTCCAGCCCACTTAAACTTGAACTGGAAAGTCCCTTGGCAGCCAGGCAGGTATGCCCCTGCCAGCCAGCCTCGCCCAACCCCAGGGGTGTCCACGTAATGTAGGGATGCTGAGAGAAGGGCAGAGATTTTAGACATGTCAAATTCCTATAGGCTTATGATAAAAGAAAGACTTGGGAAGACAGGAGGAAAGAGTTTTCCTGAGAAAGCACTTCACTTTTCTTATGCAATCTGGTAAAATTAGTCACCACTCCTTGATTTCTGAAGTCAGGCTGTGGCTGTAAGTCTAAGCACCTGCTTATTAAACTTCGCCTTTGTAACTGCACTTTGCAGCAGTCCATGCCTTGTGTTGGTCCTTGCCATGAGCAACCATGCTGGCTCCTGCAGCCCAGAGATGAAATCCTTGCTCTGCTCAGGGCTCTGGGAGGAAAGAAGAACCAATATCAGTGATGCAGTGTCCTGGTAAGGAGGTGGCTGCAAAGGGCTCCGACAGCTTCATCGGTCCCATTCCCAGAAGCAGAGCAGCACATAGGTTTGTTTTTCAGGGAAAGTTTGGATGGAGCTGCTTCTGCTGTGGGACAGGGACACAGAGTGGAGAACATCCTTGTAGACTTATGATTGTTTTCTGTCTGGATGTAAATAACATAAAGCTATGTTTTGCAAGGGAAGAAACAACACAGCAAACCCCTCTAACCTCCAAAAGAGCTTTTAGCTGCTGATTATGGTGGTCTCCAGGACCACGCTGCTACTAGATTTAAAGGGGTCTTAGTTCTTGCGTGATTGCAAGTAGCACCCGTGTCGGGAAGGTGCCTAAAGGGAAACTGAGGCACTGCAGGGACAAGAAAGAGAGTGCTGGGAGCAAGCTGAGGAGCCTGACTGCCTGTGCCGCAGCTGTGGTCTCCCCTGTGTGCTTCCCAGGTGAGGTGATGGGTGTCCCCATCCTTGCCGATGTGCTGGTGGGGGAGCGCTGTGCCCATCCCCATGGGTGGTACAGGGCCCAGTTCCCCAGGCTCTCTGCAGCTCACGGAGCCACAACAAAGCCCTCCCTGGCGGTGGACAGGCTTGTGCAGGAAGGTAGAGCTGATTCTCCTCAGGGTGCAATAGGCTGCAGAGATGGAGCAAACAGAAGAAACTCCAGGAAAGGAAAAGGTCCAGCCTTGTCAGAGGATAGAGGTGAGATTTTAAAGTGAAACTCACCCTGCAAGAATAAGATAACGATGTGGAGCTGGCTGAAATGCTCTTCGGGTGATCTATGTCTTTGATTCAAGGTTAAAGGCATGGGGGCCAAGGGAGGCAGTATACCGAGAAGACCGCATGAGTAAATGACCACTGATTGCCAGGAGCCGTACTGTGGGGAGATGAGGACTGGACCAGTGAGATTAGAAATGATACCTGCAGCCCTGCTGCTTCTAAGGGAATTGAAAGTGAATGAGAAGCGATGAACTGGCCTGTGGGAAGCCTTCTGCTAAGCAGAGCAAACTCATTGCCAGACAAGGGGGTCCTCTGAATTTGGGTGCTGGTATTAAGGCTGTCGGGAGAGGGATGTGATGCTTTCAGTCACGGTGGCAGCATGCAGAGCGGCTCCTCACCTCCTGCTGCAGCGCAGGCTCTTGCCATGGAAAGCTCTTTGTTCGCGCACAAAAGGAGCGTGGAACAAGCTGAGCGCTGCCTGCCTGCTGATGGCAATGACGAGAACAGGTTGTTCTCAGAGAAGGGTATTTCCAAGTGAAAGGGACGTTTTTTTCATTGCTCCCAACATGTGGAAATGGCAAGATAAATTATAGGGGGAGTAGCACACTTAGAAAATGCTGTGGGTGGATCGCAGCCTCCTACGTGGCTGCTTCACCACACATCAACAACCTGCTCCTGCCACCAGCTCTCGCAGCTCACGTGGGCTCTGCCGGGGCTCAGCTTGGGCTCTGCTGGTGGGTCCCAGCTCCGGGTGCATTGGCATGCTCGGTACCTGCCGCAGTGCAGGCAGTGCCATGGGGCAGCTCCCAGTGCATCCCTGCGCTGCAGACCTGGCCAGAAGTAGTTTTGTTTCTTATTGCTTTTTCCAATTAGCTCAGGGCAAGAAATGGGTGCTTTCTTCCCCCCTCTCTTTGGGCAGGGAGTAGAAAGTATTTCCAAGTGAGGTACAGAGCCACTGGGCTGAGCTGTGGAAGGAAGGAGCAGGAATCCCCAAACGAAGGGGACAGGGGTGTCCCCATCCCTGCAGAGGAACCCAGGTAAAGCCGGACTCTCAGCAGCTCTCAGAGCACAGGCAGGAGCACCCTCCCTGCACGTGTGGGCTCGGCTGCATGCGAACCCTTGGGACTTTGCTCCCCCATGGGATGGGGCAAGACCTGCCGCCTGCGAGCTCGGATGCGGGATGTCGCAACCCTAACTGTGGCGGGTGTGTGACAGACTTTCCTGTACCCCTCAGCCAAACTATCCCATGGAAACATTCCTCTGAGCGATCACAGCCTCTGAACGTGGCTTTACAGGAAAAGCAGGCTGGTATAGACAGGGCGCTGTGGGGTCAGCACACTGCGTCAGACCGCAGTCGCTGGGGCAATGCACCCAGCTCGGGGCTCTCTCCTGGAGCCTCAGAGGGCTGATGCTTCAGATCTGCCCCTGGTTTTCTGCCCAGGTCACTCACAGCCACACCAGGTCCTGTGCCCTCTGCTCCTGTTGCGTTTTGACAAAGCGAGTTCATTTCCTCCTTGATGTAGGAGCGGAGCAGCTGTTTCCTATGGCAGCCTTTCTAGCAACAGCCTGAATAAATGATACCCTTCCAGCCTTGTCTCACCAGGCAGCTTTTACGTTTACCTGATTATCCTCATTATCACAGCCTGGACTTGTTCCTGGTTCAAAATCACCCTCCTGACAGTGAGGGACCAGAGTAGGGCATCGCTTCTGGGTCATTCTTCTAGTGCCTTTTCCAGCGGTGCTGGTGCTCTGGACACTATCTCTGCTGTGAAGACTTGTCAGGTTGCATTTATTTTGTTGCAGTCATCCTGGGGTTCCCTGAAAGCCAGATATTTTTCCTATGCTGTTTTCAGCTGCTTAGAGTAGCAATTTTTGCTGTTAGTCCCTAAGCATATAAACTTGTGCCAGCCCACTATGTTTCTGTTGGTCTTCAGGTCCTCTGGTCCTTCTCCTGTAGTACTTAGTCCCTTGTCCAGTTCAGAACTTCTCCAAAGTTTCTCACTAGTACATTTTCTTAGAGAAACTCTAATTTTCTGAGCCAAGATCACGAATGAAAACCATTAAATAAAATTTATCTCTAGGCTGATCTTTAAGGAACTCTATTAATAGCCTTCTCCGGAGCATTAATGATCTTTCCATTGTAATGTACTATCGTCTCCCCATTAGCCTCCTTACAATTTTCATAGTAATTCCTGCCTTCTCCTGCCTGAATAGATATTTTCTGCTCTGTTGCAGCCCATGTTTCACTTGATCCACTGTGTTCCCATTTAAAATGGCAATTATCTCCTCTGGGGAGGGGGCTGTGATTTATCAATGGGAAATTTCTGTTGCATTTTACCGTTTTATTCATCTTTCCCATCTTTCAGCATCCTTTCCTTGAGCATTGTTTATTCCAGCACTTTGTGCGCTTTTTTTGCAACAAGACTAATGGGATACAGCGCCTGTTCTGGCAGCGTAGGTAATACATTTCCTGCTCTCTGTTTGTGTGCTTTTACTTCTGGTATAATAGGTTTGTTGAAAATCTGTTAAAAGCCTAGGTGCATCGACACCACGAGCGGGTACATGGGCAGAAAGGAGCACTCTCTCAGTGCCTGAACGTGGCAGCCTGTCTTTGGGAAGCGTTTCCCACCACCCAAAAGGGGACTGACAGGGATGGCTGGGGGGCTCCTCATGAAACATTTTAGCTCCGTCCTAGGGACAGGACGGCTCTGCTCTCAGGCAGACCTGAAATGTCACTCTGCCTCCTGCGTTAGTTTCTTTCCGAGCAAAGTGCCGGCAGAAGTCACTTAGGAGCAAAGAAAATTCCCTGGCCCTGCAGAGCTTGCAGCAGAGCGTCACGGGTTTTTCTAAAATTATGTTCAAGTGCTTCCAGAGATTAAACATCTGGGCAGGCTGAGAGAGGTACTTCAGCCAAGGCTGTGAGATGGATGGGAGTGGAGATTTCTGCCGGTCTGAGAGAGGATGTTTGAGGTTCGATGGTGGGTAGCGGGCAGGGCTGGGAGCTGCAGGGACCCTGGCAAAGGGACGTTTCATCCCGCTGCCAGAGCCATGAGCCTGCCACACCATGGGACAAGACCAAATTTGCCAGAGTTGGGGCTTGAGGGGAACGTGAGAGGGGGGGAAATGTGAGAGTGGTGGCAGAAACTATC